AGGCTAAACCATAGTATAAAAACCACTCTTCCGGTAAAAATATAAATAAGCACTTCACTTTACGTAGAATGTGGATATCATTTGAAATATTTTTAAGAATAGATAATGTCACAGGTTGGGGGTATAGATGTAGAAATCAAAAAACAAAGTTCTGTATGTAAGCAAATGCGTTTTAGCATAGGCCGTGCAAGTCTTTTAAGTACGTTGTCCAGAGTAAGTGGAGTGGTCGAAAGGCGTAATGCAATAGATATCTTGGCGTGTATAAATATTAAAGCACAACATGGCAGCATAAAATTAATGGCTACTGATCTTGATATTTCAATATTTGCTTCACTTGCTGCAGATGTGTCAACAGAAGGAGAAGTAAAAGTTTCAGCACATACTTACACGATATAGTGAAGAAGTTGCCAGCTGATTTGGATGTCAATTTGAGGTAAACGAGTTTGCTAATTCTGTTACATCACTTTCTTCTGAAATTGTGTCATTACTGCTTTGTATGATAAGCCCAGGAACCGGATAGGGGAGAGAAAAGAGAAATCATACTTTGTTGCTGGAAGGAAAAAGCAATAAAGCCTACTATCTCAGGTCTGCGCATTATCAGTTGCATAGCTACCCATGCTCCAAAGGAAAAACCAACGATCCAAATTGGAACATTACTAGGGTTGTGTTCTTGAAGCCAATCAATGGCTATTGCGGCGTCAGTTAACTCCCCTATACCCTTATCGAAAGTTCCAGTGGATTTCCAACACCACGGAAGTTAATTTTCAATGCAGAAAAATTGTTATCTACAAAAGATGTGTATATACTATGTATCATTTTACTATCCATACTGTCACCATATTGAGGGTGATGATGTAAAATTAACACAACTAGTGCGTTGGTCTCTTTGCTCTGGTGGTACTCACCTTCTATTTTTTTTTTTTTTTTTGTTGCATTATTTAAAAAAACTTCTACCACGGCAGCTCCTAATGAAAACCTGTTAACAGATATATAAATTGTGCATATATTAATTATGTATTAATTTTACTGTTTTTGCAACAAGCTTTTTACCGTGTTAAAGCTAATATATAGTTAATAGTAGGCTAATTAAGTGGCAAATGAACATTTGAATTTATTTTCTTTAGAAAATAGTGATTATATATACGCTGACTATAATGCAACTTTTCCAGTTAGTGACAGTGTAAAATAGAGTATACTTGAAGTCCTATCAAAACAGGTTTTGAATCCTTCATCGTTACATAGAAAGGGACAAGAAGCAAGAAGGATTCTTCAGGATGCAAGGGATAACATTCGTAGTGCTATTGGCGTTCCAAGTAATAAGGAAATAGTTTTTACGTCTGGTGCAACTGAAGCAAATAGTCTTGTTATGAAAGGGATAGCAGGCTTTCAACATGTGATTTCAGCTGTAGAACATCCCTCAATTCTTAATTCTGCGTGCAATCCACATATAATACCCGTCAATCAGGGGGGTATTGTCGATCTTTTGGCGCTAGAAAGAATTTTAAGTGAACTTAAAGGGAATATGGTTTGGTTACAACTCCAACAGTCAATATCTTTTTTTCTTTTGACGCTTTATCCTTAACTCCAGCTCTTGCCTCTCTTGTTGCTTTTTCGATTACTGGCGCTGCGCCTGTTCCAGTGCCACCACTCTCCCTACCGTGATGAAAAGCATATGGCTATCTTTTATATGCTCCATAATCTATCTCATCATTGACTCTTCTGCTGCACCCTTGCCAACATCAGGCAAAGCACCAGCACCAAGGCCCTTAGTTAAATTAATACCTAACTGAATTTTCTTATCACATAATGATTTTTCTAGTGCTTCAGCATCGGTATTTGCTACAACAAAATTCACTCCTTGCAAATTAGACTGGATCATGTTGTTCACAGCTTTCCCACCAGCACCGCCCACTCGCAATAGTTAGTAATTTTTCAGCATTTCTTTCTTCAGCTGTATCACTGAGATTGGACGACCCTGTAATAACCTTGTGGTCATCATAATTAATATTCTATTATGAGCGATTTCTGGATTGTAATCAATCCAAATTGGTATTCCTTCTTCAAATAACTTGTGCATAACACTATGTTTTGAATGTGCTATGATTTATCTAGAATAATTTTAATATCAACGCTACGTTTTTTTGCTTCAACTAGAGAATTAGCCACTTTCTCAAGAGTAAATTTGTATTATTGAACCAAAATGGATTTCTCAGATTGATCTATTGTATTAATTACTTGCTGAGCATAATCTTCTCATGGAGTAAAGTAGACAGTAATTTTTGAATCTAAGAAAGACAACCTCATAATGCACACCATAAATAAATTCAAGTTATATATAGCTGCTGAACTTTATTGCATAGCAACCAAGAAACTTAGTGTGGTTACTGACAAAATTCATTGTAAAATGGCCATTTAACTACTTAAGAAAAAATATGCAATTAAAAAACAAACCTCGCTAGCCCCCTTATCCTGATACTGGAGGTATTAAGTTACCTTCAATCTGTGCAGATTAAAATAATAAAGTGTTATATAGTTAGCATCTTATGTTTAATTTTTTGCACTATATTACCTTATGTCTTCACAATATTTCTAATTTTTTGCCTATATAAGTTGAAACTCGCTTATAAAGCGTTTAGGAGTATAATATGCTAATTTACAGGATTAGAGAATAAATACTATCTACCACAATATATCTTTTGCCTTTTTTGCCTAGTAAATTTCTAAAACATTTATGACTAAAGGTTAGTTGCAATAAAAAACAACTAAGTCGCGATTATTAAGTATTTAAAACATAAAAAAACGCTAGTGTTTTTAAATAGATATTAACTAGGGCTTCTTTTGTCTTTTTCTTACTTGGTGGATTTCTTAAATATTTGTAGCTGAAGATTTACTGACAACAACTGCTTGTTAGCTGCCTTTCTCAAGAAAAGAATTTTACAGTTAACATAAAAATACCAAAAGAAAATAGTGAATTATGTTACAACCGCTGCGAAACTAATAATTATGAAACTGTAAAAGAATTTATAAGTAATGCTTTGCATTAATTTCTCCTATAGGAGGATAAAAGCTGTAAATGCTGCAAAAAAATCGGTGATTAGAGTGTATTTACGTGAAGGTAGAACTTTGCACCATGATATTAAGGCTAAATTTTGCTCTGGTGAAATAGTTTTAAGAGCAGCTAGAGCTGGAACAGGCATTATTGCTGCGGGATCGATTGGGTCGGTTTTTGAGGTGTTGGGCATAAAAGATGTAGTAGCTAAATCTACTAGATCGAATAATCCTCATAACGTTATATGTGCAGTATTATATGTACAGGTCTTTGATAATATGTTATCTCCTCGTCAAGTAGCGAGCAAAAGAAGTAAAAAGATTGGCGAGGTAGTCGGAAACAGGTAAAGTATGAATAATGTTATAAAGTTAAACTCTATATTTACTGAATTATTGAAGAAAAAAAAGCCTAAATTAATAGTTAGAGGTATTGGTTGTGGTAAAGGTAAAACATCTGGTAGGGGACATAAAGGGCAGAAGGCTACGCTTTGAAGGAGATGTCTCTAACAGTAAAATGGAGAGCCCTTCATCTACACCTATTCTGAACCCAGGAAGAGAAAAAGGTGGTCGTGCCTCTAAAGCATGTGCAATAAATACTATGATAGCAATAACATCTTTGCTCAAATATTAAGGGGTGAGTTGCAAGAAGGTTTATGAGGATGAGGATGTCTTGGCATTTTACGATAAGTATCCTGATGCACCATTTCACATTTTAGTTGTAACGAAAAGTCAATATATTTCATATGATGATTTTATTTTTAAAGCTTCTGCGGAGGAAATAGTAGGCTTCTTTAAAACTGTAAGAGAGATAACTTATAAATATAACCTAGAAAAAAACAGGATATAGATTAGTTACTAACTGCGGTGAAACGGGGAACAAGTTGTGCCGCACTTTCATATGGATATTTTAGGTGATAAAAGATTAGGAAAGCATGTAAATTTGTAGTGTTGCTTTCTACGAGTTTTATTAAATGAGTGAATATTTAGCTATAGCAATTTTTATCTGCGTGTCAATTATACTATCTCTTGCTTTGGGTGTATTGCCTATGTTTCTTGCAATAAGCAAACCAGATAGTGAAAAACTTTCTACATATGAGTGCGGTTTTAACCCTTTATCAAGAGCAAGAAAAAATTTTGACATTAAGTTTTATTTAGTTTCAGTATTATTTATGATATTTGACTTAGAAATTGCTTTTCTTTTTCCTTGCGCTATTTCTTTATCTAAAATAAGCTATTGTGGATTTTGGTCTATGATGATATTTCTTGCAATACTTACTGTAGGTTTTATCCATGAGTGGTGTAAAGGTGCATTAGAATGGGGCTTATGCTCGTTTAGAACTTGCATTGTTAGTAGAGTTTCATGCTTTACTTGGCTCAACAAAATAGACATTCGTTCAACCTCTGCTACTGCACTGGCTGTAGTTATTACCATATTAGAGATTATTTTATTTATCTTTTCAATTAAACTTACTTTACACTTCGCAAAGTAATTCATTCGTTTTCCACATCAATTTTATTTTTTTTTTTTTAGTAAATAATTTTCAATGTTCAATTTGCTCTGACTAAAACTACGATTGTCCGCTGAAGAAAAGAATGCTTGTTTCATAACTTTGTGTTTATATATCAAATCATTGGAGCTTTCCTTAAGCAGCAATAATGCTTCCCTATGTGTACTAGCATCGAGTGTTCCATATGACTCATCTGCAACGCCCTCAACTACTTCATGTAGAAAGATCACCTCCTCTTTCCATTCTTTTATTCTCACACAGAAACACTTGACACTTTTCAAGTATTTGCTTATTTTAGTATAATGAGTTGCAGAGATAGCGCGGCACTTATTTACATTGTGAATATGTTCAATTACCGCCTGAGCAATAGATAAGCCATCATACACTCCTGTTCCTCTACCAATTTCATCAAGTATTACCAAGGAACGGTCTGTTGCTTGGTTGACTATGGTTGCTGTTTCAATCATCTCCACCATGAAGGTGGAATAACCAGCCGTTATATTATCCGTTGCGCCAACCCTGCTGAATATCTTATCATTCACTCCAATATGTGCACTATCTGCTGGCACAAATGAATCCATATGAGCTAAAATTGCAATGAGAGCGTTTTGCCTCAAGAAAGTGCTTTTTTCAGCCATATTAGGGCCAGTAATTAGATGTATACCAGACAAATTGATGCTATTTGCAATGAACTTATCGTTAACTTCAACAACTGGGTGTCTTTCATTGCAAATATTGAATTCCTTCTACTGTTTCTGGTTTTATCGGCTCATTTAGTAAATCAACCTTTGCTAATCAGGTCTCTGTTGTCGCTGGAGAGGGAAGTGAGATGAAGATTGGCTATGACTACGATATAGCATGTAACTTCGGTGATTTAAAATCGCCAGAGTTAATAGGGGAACGTCCAAAAAACTTAACTGTTGAACAATTTTGTCTACTAGCGAATAATATGTAAATTACTTAATTTGTTGATAAAAATATTAAAAAAGTATTTTCAGTTTGCTATACAATTCAAAGGTACACCATTTCACAATAAAATAGGGAATTTTGCCCAAAGATAGAAATAGGCAAGGGTTTCTGTTTTTTTTCTCTGGTTGCTATTTCTACGCTGTGATTCAATTTGGCAAAAAGATTACATGTATACCTTCCGCAAATGGCAGTTTGGGCTTTTCAAAAAGCCAAAATTCTATATAATTTTAGTTATAAGTTATGGCTTATAGAAGAGGCTACCACAGATCTATTGCATATGCACAATTTTCTAAAAAAATAGTAGTATTGCCTTTGCATAGTATAAAGTATTCCTATGTAAATTCTATGTTATCCATATAATAAAGTTGAAGCTATTGCTAACGCAACGTATTTAAAAATGTTATGAACTTCGTAAGAGAAAAAAATACTCCTTTGATGGAGCAATATTTGAACCTAAAAGCTCAATATCAGGATCATCTGTTATTTTATAGGCTGGGAGATTTTTATGAGTTGTTTTTTGATGATGCTATTAAAGCTGCGAAGTTGCTGAATATAGTACTAACTAAGAGAGGTAATTTGTATGGGCAAGAGGTACCAATGTGTGGAGTTCCAGCGCATAGTAGTGAATCTTACCTTCATAAGTTAATAGATTTAGGATTCAAAGTAGCAATCTGCGATCAGTTAGAAACTGCTGATGAAGCAAAAAGCAGGGGCTATAAATCTATAGTAAAACGTGATGTAGTGCAAATTGTAACTCCAGGAACAATTGTTGAAGATTCGCTATTAGAGAATAAAAACAGCAATGATCTTGCGTCCATAGTTAAACAAAATGGGGAGTATGCTATTGGCTGGCTTGAATTATCAACAGGATGCATGTTTTACACGAGGGTTTTTGTGCTTTGCAAACATATCTACCATGTAAAACTGGCCAGTGATGAGCATAGAGTAGGTATTTTTTTGGAACTACATTTAAAAGAGATTTCTCTGTTTTGAACACGTCTTTTTCTTTCACAAGGCCAATTTTATTGCTCACTCTAAAAACATGAGTATCAACTGCCAATGTTGGAATGCCAAGTCCCGAATTTAAAAATACATTAGCACTCTTTCTCCCAACTCCTGGCAAAGACACCAAGTCGTCAAAATTGGGAGACATAGCAATAAGAATAGTAAGAAGAGAGCCGAGTGTTCAGGTTACAGTATGTGATATAAATCAAAACATGCTAAGTAGAGGACGTAATAAAGCCATAAACTCAAATCAGCTTAATTTTAATTGGGTGTGTGCAAACGCAGAAAGTTTGCCATTTGAAGACTCTGAGTTCGACTGTTGCACAATAGCTTTTGGTATTCGGATCCTCTCAGAGTCGTCACTAGAGACCGTCTTTCCAGCCCATCATTACGTGCATATTCAAAGCTACCCATAGTAACAGTCTTCTTATTTCTGCTCTTTCATTCACTAAATTTACTAGGTCACTACCCCCTCCCCTTCTCCCCCCCCCCCCCCCCCCCAAAACCAGGTGTCCCTCACTGGTGCTATTGATATCTTCTTTATATATGTATTAAATATCCTCTTTATATCGGGCAAACAAATAGTAATGTGTGGATCAAAACAACCAGGTCTAAGCAGTGCATTACGAAACCTCCATAAATTTTAAAATAGTGCGTAACTTTAATTTTAGTACTTAATAATCTCTCTATATTGCATTACAGTCAAGAAAAATAAACACTGAATACCTTTTCTACAGTCTTACAATTTAATTTTCTAATAAAATGCTAGATTTTCAGTAGAAAAATCCGGTAAAGGCACAATTTTTTATTGTGCTTTAAGTAAATATACTTTTAACATTATTATTAATCTGTTACGATATTAAACAGATATTTTCTAAAAAAAAAAATGAACAAATACGAAATTTTACAAGTTTCTATAAAAAGTATTACATAGATTGAAGAATACTGAGAATACGCTATAAGTACTAGATCAGAGTCAACTAAACGTAGAAGATCAAGTTGAACAAATGGGTCTTCTAGAAGAAATTAGACATGAGACTATCTCCCACAATATAATAAAAGAATCATTAGCATAAACACGTACTCCTAGTAACAAAAAGAAAGGTGATAGTTGACAGCTAAAGTTAATAGAGAGGATGCATAAAAGCAACAGTGCTATTTCCATTGACCGTAAAATCCTTTGTCCAAAGTTAAAACTGAGTGCCAAAATTTACGGAGGCTATCTCAATCTGAACCCAGTAGCTTAGAAAAACTAAAAGAACTTTTTTTTTTTTTTTTTTTTTTTTGCTGACTTAGTCAAACTCATTCGTGCAGTAGTTTCTATAAAATCGCAGCAAAAGAAATATTTCCTAAGTTAGGCAAATTTTTCAGCGACAATATAGATAGAATAATTGAAAAACAGAAGAAAGACAAGGTTACTAATACACAGAAGATTACTACTCAAAGCAGATTGAACTTGGCTCATTATGCTTGCAGCAAATAGGTTTTATGTCACACCATGCATACTTCTTATCAGCACCTATATCTGATTTCTGTTATGGTTTAGTTTTACTTTTGGTTCGGTGGTCATCAAATTTATCAAAGATGTCTATAACTAGCTCATTTACAAGGTACAATCATGTGTGAAACTCAACGGAAAGAATGATTGGAACATGCAGGAAATTTACTGAGTTTATTCAACCATACATAAAAGAGAAACTCATTGTAAAGGTCAAAGTTAATGCAAGGATCAACAGTGTTGAGAATCTGCACTTCATTTTCAATAAAGTGAATCTTCCCTCTCCTTTAGAGAAGGCAGATAAATTTAGTCCATTGATATTTAAAATTATTAAAACTTATTTTAATAATTACACTGGCCAAATGACCACAATGTATGCAACCACTACCTATGCAATGCACACAAATTAATCAATTAAGTTCAAAATATCCATTTTTTTTTTTTTTTTTTTAAGAATTGATATTTATAAATATTTTAACATTTAATTAAAATAATTTCTGACAATACATGTATTCATTTCGCAAAATTGTACAAATTTCCTATATTTTGATACTTAAAATAGAAATAAAAATTAATTCTAACTGTAAGAATGAATTAAAGCCATCATTAATTAAAAATTTAATTAATTTTGCTAATAAAAAATTGATTAAAGCTTAATTATTAAAGTTTATTTTATTATTTATGTTGCCAATTGACCACACCATAAATGACCAGTACCCATGCAACGCTTATAAATTAGTCAATTAAGCTCAAAATTTTCTTTACGAATTGATATCTTTTAATAGTTTTAACATTTTAATTAAATTGAAATTTGACAACACCGGCATTTATTTCATAGTTTATTATGCAAAAACTTTTACAAATTGCACAATTTTCTTAAATTATGGTATTTAAATTTGGAAAATAAATTAATTACAATTGTAAGAATGAAATAAAACAGTGACAAACAAAGAATTTAATTAATTTTGCTAATAAAATATTGATTAAAAGTTATTTTTTAAAGTTTTTTTTAATATTTTATGCTGACCAATTGACCACACCGTGATTAACCAGTACCTATGCAACGCTTATAAATTAATCAATCAAGTTCAAATTATCTAATTTTTTTAATGATTTGATTTTTTTTTAATATTTTAACATTTAAATAAAATGAGTTTTTGATATTGCTAGAATTTATTTTATAGTTTAATATACAAAACTCTGACAAATTATTGAATTTTCATAAAATTTGATATTTAAATTTGAAATAAAAATTAATTTCAATTGTAAGAATGAATTAGAACAGTGGCAAATTAAAAATTTAATTAATTTTCCTCCTAAAATATCATTCAGAACTCAATTTCTAAACTTGATTTTATTATTTTTGCTGTTCAAATGATCACAATGTATGCGATCAGTACCTATGCAATGCACACAGATTAATCAATTAAGTTCAAAATATCCATTTTTTTTAATTAATTGATAATTTTCGATATTTTAACATTTAATTAAAATCAAAATTGATAAAACTAGAAGTTATTTCCACGTTTAATATACAATAACTCTTGCAAATTATAAAATTTTCACCAAAATTGATTTTTAGATTTGAAATAATGCTTAAGCCTAAGCCTAAGCCTAAGCATTTTTTTATTATTTAAAATGTCAAATGACCGCGATGTATGTGACCAGTACTATTCAACGCTTATAAATTAATTAAGTTCAAAATATCTATTTTTTTAATGTTTTGATATTTCTTAATTTTTTAACATTTAATTAAGATTAAATTTGATAATAGTAGGGTTTATTTTCCAGTTTATTATGCAAAAATTCTTACAAATTATAGGATTTTCATAAAAATCAATTTTAAATTTAAATTAAAAATTAGCATTAATTGTAAAAATGAATTAGATCTATGACTAATTAAAAATTTTATTATTTTCGCGAGTGAAATTTTAATCAAAACTCAATTCTTAAAGTTTATATAATTATTTATGCTGATCAAATGACCACGATGTATGTGACCAGTACCTATGCAATGCACACAAATTAATCAATTTAGTTCAAAATATCCATTTTTTTTTTTTTAAGAATTGATATTTATAAATATTTTAACATTTAATTAAAATAATATCTGACAATACATGTATTCATTTCGCAAAATTGTACAAATTTCCTATATTTTGATAC